TTAATAAACAGCTTGATGATAGGTAGACAGCAAGATGCAGATATAATAATGAAACAGCAAGATTTAACTCTTCCTCTGGCAGGGCATGTTGTTTATTCAAAACAAAGAACAGTGCTGCCAGGTTGCTGAGACTGCAGTGGTCTGTTAGTGCTTCAGGCTAGGTTTTATGTTAAGGTAAATCCTGACCATTAGACGTCCCTTGTTAACAGCAAGTAAGCAAGTAGGCTTGCTGACACACCCAGTACTGTCTGTACACCTGGAGAAGTCAACACACAAATTTGGCTCTAGGACATCTGGCAAGTGTAGCCTTATCTCAATACTAGCCCTATAGTGGTCCTTTTTATCTAATTAAGTGTTAATAACTGCTTTAAATTAGAAGTTCAGAACTGGTGAGTGCTGTCATCAGTCTGTGTTCTCAGAGAAAACATCTTCCCACACAAGACTCCAAAAAGAGACAATGGCTGATAAAGGCAATAAAGAGTTTACAGATACTACAGAAGAAAATAATTACAAGATACATAGTTATATATTTTTTTAAGAGTTAATAATAGTTTGGGATGTTTCTTCTATTGATTCTGCAATTTCTTCTTTGGCAATAAAATATTTTATCACAGAACAGTTGCATGACTTCATCACTTCACAGCAGCTCTAATGAAAATAATCAATCTTTATATTGATAAAATGTAACTGCATATAATCATCACTACCCATGTGTAGAAGACAGAAAGCAGAGCCTAAAAGATTGGAATACTTTTTTCAACAAGGCACTTCAGAGATGAATGTGTGAAGGTCAGGTAGAGTTTTCAGCTCCAGATTCTGGAGGTTCTTAATCTTATTACTCAGAGTTGCCATCATTTCAGTCCCACACTGAACAGTAAACCCTGGACTGTTTCAGAACTGATTTAGAACTGCTTGTTAGATTTAGTGAAGTCAATTCTGATTGCAGTCATCATTCCTGTGGAAGAAACTCCCAAAATGTAACAAACTTATGAGGATGTGTTTCTCGCAGGTATATTTGAAGAGATGACATGAATAGTTGTGTTCTATTTACATCCCCTACATCTCCTACTTCTATCTCTTTGAAGAACTTATCACTGCTTTTACTGGGGCTTTTAACAAGGTACCGTTAAAAGTATAACATTCCCATGTCTTTGTCTCCTCTGTGAGAAAGCAGAGTGCAATGGCATCACCAAAACACACGTGGTGGCAGTGAGTGAGCTGTGGCCAGAAACCCTTGTATTCCATGTCCTTCACACAAATGTCATATGGAGGTCAGAGCAACGGATTGCCTGGCTCACCCTTCAACTCATCACCTGGCTTAGAAACTATCTCAGCTCCCACCTCACTGTAGCCTCTGTCATTTCTTCACCCTTGTTTCTGTGCCTCCTATCTCCCCTGTCCCATCCTCTCAACACCAGTAAAGAGAAGAGGGCTGGTATGGCTTTTCCTCACAAAGGCCATGTGCACAGTGCACTGTTTGCAGGACTGCAGCCAGGGAAACAGGGACAATTTGTTCCAAGGAGACAGAACTCTGTTTAGGTGAGACTTGTTCTGCACCTTGCTATATGGTTAAGTACCATACATTGCCTGCTTAGGATCTAAGTATGTGACGGAAGCCATTTGTAACACGCAAGGATAACAAGTCCTACAGTGGCAATGCATACGTATCTAGTCTCTTCTGGCCCACAGTCTGTAACTCTTTACACAGCACTGATATATAAAAAGCAGATTGTACTGATTTTCTTCCTGCTGGAGAGGTGCAAGCCATGGTATTTAGGTTTCTGTGAATCCTTCTGATTCACAGGGAGAGATGAAATGGTGCTGTTCAAACATCCATGAAGAAGTGATGGGGAAGAGAGGTAAGGAAAATGCAACCATACCAGTGAGGTTGTGGCATGGCAACAAGTGGTTGGATCACACAAGTATGATGAAAGATGCTGAGTATCTGAGGGAGGGCTGATATGGATGAGAAATCCATATTGCAATCCAGTGTGACCACGTGGGGTGGATGTACCTAGCCATTCAAAATGACATGGAATAAAAGAGCTGAAATTCTTTTCATAAAGGAGGTTTTCAGGCCTGCCATCCTTCCCCTTGCTGGTGTTTCCAGTAAGTGCTTATTAAGTGACAGTGGGGCTCCTCAGTCCAATTTTAAATGAACACTGAAAAGAGGGCTTTTGACAACTTATTAAAAATTTAAGTTTAGTAGCAAACCCTTGGGTTAGTTGGATTTATAGTTAACATTTCTCTGTTGGAATACGAGCACATGATGTCTGTCAGCAAGCCAGCCACAATAGCCTCAGGCTGATATTCCAAAAATAAAATAGCAGTCTATATCTGTCAGGGCTGTGCCAGTGCCATGTTCTACATGAGCACTTCTTTAACCTGATAATTCACACAGCTGAAACATGTCGAAGAATCAGCTGGAGTGTTCTTGCAGTCTGGAAGAAACTCTCTTCTCGTCCCCAGCGTGGCATAGCTGGAACCACTAACAGCAACAAGCTTTCAAAATAGTCCACAGGTTGTGTCAGAAGATCTTTGAGAAGTCACAACAAAGTTAAACAGATACATTAGAGAAAAAAACATAGAAGAGGGAGGCTGGTCCATTTTAAAATGAAAGAACAGTTTTGGTGAATTTTTTTTTGAGGGAAGATCAAGGAAACAATGTGCTTTAAAAGATCACTAACTCTTTTTGTGACAGAGACCTAAATTTGACCAAATAAATGAATGGTCTGGTAGTTGGCAGCTGACATAAATGTAGCCTGAGTTTGTTTCCTCCATTTATAAAGAGGGTAGTGATGTCCCAAATATGGGTTTTGTTTGCAATTGCATTTGTGTGTACCAGCACCCATATAAAATCTGTATAAAATACAAATATGTTTACTGAAAATTACAGAGGTTAATGTTTTGCTTTGTTTTAATATAGACCAGTGTCAATTGTGCCCAAATATTTTAGTGAAAAAGACACATCCCACCAGAGATCCTGACAGATTCGGAGGCTAACAAGGGACACACACACAAGCCCCTATGTTGACCAACTTGGAGTGACAACTTTTGCCTTCCTCTTCCTAAACTGACATCTTAACCTAATGGATATGGAGTCAAGCTCTCTTTGGAAGCTAGTTTTCACAAGAGGAGATAACTCTTGTCTGATAATACTGGGAACTGGAGGAAGAAAAGTAGTTAGGGTTCAGATGCAGATAAGTGTGAGCTTCGTTTGGGACCCAGGTGGACTCCAAAGTGCTTGACTATTCCACAGTAATGGACTATGCAATATTTCCCTCAGCAATAACTTTTCAAACTCCAACATTTAATCCATATAATTTTGTTTTGTGGGTAAGCGTGCATTTATTGTCCCTCCCAGCCAGTTAAAATTTTCCCAGTTCACATATGAGTGTGCAGTATTTAAATATTTAATAATTGTATATATTTCTATACATATTATAGCACACACACATCCCCCGCTTCTGATTACAGGAGGACTGATAGCTGAGCTGAGGGATATTTTTCAGGAAAAAAAAAAGTAGAAATAATTAACATTTACTCTGTGAGTGCTTTGAGTTTTGACAATTTGGAGGCCTTTATAATCACCCACATTGCATGTTTATAGTGCTTATGCTTGTGAATATTACAAAGGCATGACAGGAAAGGATTAATTTAAAATTTCATTTTTGTATTTAAAACAGAAGTTATTTGTGACAAAGTTTGAATGTGGGAAATTATATGGAATATTCCCATTTTTGCTTCAGAAGTTCTTGTTTAATACTCTGATTTTCCTTACAAAATAGAAATCCAGAAGGACACCACTGCCTCCATTTTAACTAAGAAAACATATGAAAAACCAAAACATGCAATGTTTGGCCATGGAATACAACCCCTTTTTAGGTATGACAAACTGGCAGTTCAATTTGTCATTGCACTGAATGCAGCTGACCACTGAGGAAAGTGGATCCTCTGTCTACAGTGGTCACATTCTGAAATGACTGTATCACACTGTTAATAAGATACATACATCCTGTGAAAACAAGGCATTCCCATCAAAACTGATCAAATTTAACATAATACAAGTTACAACTTTTTCCATATTTTTGGTAGTAAGATTCTGCTCTATAACTTAATTAACATCTTGGATGGGACTTTTATTTTCAGTTTCAACCCCAAACACATTCAGCAGTTTGTATTTGCTTATTTTTTTGCCACCATTACATGGCTTCTTTTAGGTCTCACTGTGCTAAGACAAAACAGGCCAAGTGGGTTAGACTTTCTAACCATTGTCCTATTCATTCTGCCAGCTCTTCTTCTGCATCTATTACTCTTTTATTTCAGCACTTCTTTCCTCCTCATTGAAGATCATAATTGTACACATTGTCTCACATGGAGTCTTCCCATATTGTCTTGAAGGCTATTGACAGTACTCTAGGAAATACTCTCAATTCAACAACACTTGATTTTTTTCTCTTCAACAACCTCTTATCTTACTGAGCCTAAGGTGCTGGGCCTTTGTTGCCTCTCCATTAAGTCAGGTTTGAGAGTCAGGAAGACTATTATTACTGTACAACAATAGAGGTTACTACAATTGCATATGGATTTATTGGATGAAGCAAAAGAGGTACAAAATAGTATCTACAAGATAGGAGACAAAAAAAAAAAAGAAAAAATAAAATGGAAACCAATATCAAAGGTTTCTTACCCCTTTTCAGGGAAATACTGAGTATTGCATTCCAGCGCATACAGATATATATGTTATTATGCAGTTTATGAGTGTAGCTACCATATCTGCTGTGGCCTTTATCTGTCTTGCATTCCATCAGAAGGGGTGTTTTTAGGTTCAGTAACATGATCTCCTGCTATGACAAGGTGACCTGTTTGGTAGATGGGGAAAAGGCTGTGAATGCTGTCTACCTGGACTTTAGCAAAGCCTTTGTCACCATTTCCCACAACATTCTCCTGGAGGAGCTGCCTTGGACAGCAATCCTTGCTGAGTAAAAAACTGTCTGCCTGGCTGGGCCCAGAGAATGGTGGTGAAGGAAGACACATCCAGTAGGCCTCTGGTCACAAGTGCTGGTCCTCAGGGCTCAGTACTGAGGCCAGCCCTGTTTAATATCTTTATCAGCAATCTGGACAAGGGGATCTAGTGCATCCTCAGCTCAGTCAGCTTGCAGACAACACCAAATTGTGAGTCTTGATGTGGGGGAGGGTAGGAAATCTCTACAGAAGGATCTGGACAGGCCGAATCAATGGCAGAGGCAAATGGTTGGAGGGTCAACAAGGACAAATGCCAGATCCTGCCCTTGGGTCACAACAGCTCCAGGCAGTGCTACAGGCTGGGGACAGAGCGGCTGGAAAGTGGTCCAGCAGAAAAGGATCCAGGGGTGCTGGTTGGACAGGATTGGGTGAACATGAGCCAAAAAGGCCAATGGCATCCTGGCCTTTATCAGCAGCACTGGGGCCAGCAGCACTATGGCCCCCTGTACTCAGCACTGCTGGATCCTTGAAAATGTATCTTTAATCAGAAAATGTGGAAAAAAGTCTGAAGTACTTATGTTAAACTACAAATGCAAACATGAGATACACAGATACAGATAATTTGTTTGAGTTATATGGAGTAACAAAACTGGCATGCACAATTAATATCTTCAGTCTTCCAAGTGTTGCACAAGGATTATGTATATGCTCTCTCACTTCCCTTTGTTGAGTTGCTTCCTTCAGCACTCTGCTGTAGTTCTCAAAGCAAGGAGAAGCATTAGTGTGACAGCACAGGACAAATCCAGAATGATGCTCAAAGATTTCAGAGACTTTTGCTATTTTTCTGGAGACAGCAGATGTACCAATTTACCTCATGGCAGAGCAACATTCAGAGCCAGTACTTGAAAATGCACTGGGACTGGTGTGATAACTCACACAACTGAGCTTGGGGGTGCAATATTCAAAGATGCTGACATCAAGAAATGAAATCTTGGCCTCACTGGAGTTAGCACAGACTCAGGCTTTGATCTCAGTGTGACTGTGATTTTAACAGTGATTTTAGAAATGTCAGGCATGGCTTATAAGCCTAACTGATGGAAACAATTTCATGAATGTCAAATTTAAAAATGCCACCTTTACCTCAAGAATGTGACTTGCTTCTCTACCAATCCTAGCTGCAGTTTTTTACAACATGATATAGGATACAGCACACCTCTATTTTCACACACACAGCTCATAGAGTGAAATCCTTGATTGCTGTGGTTATTTGCTAGGATGTGGAACAACACTGAGGAACTCAGGCTTTGTGTCTGAATAGCTATTGACAATTCTGAGCTGTACAATTGTAATTCCAAATAGTTAACTGGGAAAACAAAACAAACAAAAAAAAACGTTTATGTCATTAAGAGTTCTACTCAAGCACCCAACATTTCTGCAGTGTATATGCAGCATCCTATGGAAACCAGACTAAAATGAGTTCTTCTGCTGCATCTGGATTTCCTTATAGAGGCCCTAAAAAAAACAGCTGAAAGTCAGTTACTGAGATTGGAGAGCAATGAAAATAGCTCTTCTTCCCCCAGTCTGCATCAAGTGCTTTACTATCAAACAATGACAAAGCTAGAATATAAATGAGGCTAGGAAGTATACATATACATGAATACATATATTATTATAAATATAATATATATAATTATATAATTATATGTATAATTATAATATATACATATATTATTATATTATTATCATAAACAATGCTGTATGCATTATTTCAGTTGCATATAGCACTCTGAACTGCTAAACAGCTTTCTGCATGGACTCCACAGGAACACAGATCCTGTCCTGGACTACTCCCTCCCTAATTTTTTCCATACACTCCAGCTATTGTGACATCTTCCCTCCTGGTAGTGATTCTTTTGTCTTGAACATTTTCCTTCTCTGCTGCAGCCCTTCTTTGATGGCAATGAAACAAAAGGGAAGAAAAATCAAGAGTAACTGACAAGAAGATAACTGCTCCAGCTCCTCAGAAGTACCCTTTACAGAGTGAGTCTCTGTGCTCTTCTATGCAATAGAAGATACCAGTGCCAGGGATAGACAGAAATGGACAGAACTGGGGAAAAAACAAACAGATAAGATAGAGACTGCCTCTGTTGTTTTTTAGCTTCATTTTATTGTCAGAATATTACATCAGTGAAATTGAGGCAGTATGCAATTTAGGCTGGCATTACTTTTTTATCCTATAGCTGTTCAAGTGGACTGCATGTTTAAAACCATACTTCAGCTCCTTGAAATCTTGTGTCATCAGTGTGTGGACAGTATCAAAAATGTAATATTGTGAGAAAGGTCTGTTAATGGTCAGCTATTCAGTGTAGAATTGCCAAATTACCTGGAGAGATGATGTAAGTAGATAGACTGTTCAATAATAAGCAGCTACTGAGCCTAATCTCTTCCATCTAGTTGTACCTTGAGTAATACAAGAGCTAAAACAGATAGGAGAACTTCAAATGTATGCCCCAAGCATGCACATATATATTGCAGCAGAAAAACCCAATAGTAAACCTGCTCCTTAGGCACTGTTAATAGGATTTGGACAATCACAGGAAAAGCCCTTGGTGTTGAAATTATATTCTTTTTGTTGACAACACGCTACCTAATGGGACTGTGTGAAGCTGAAAAGAAAACAACTGATTGACATGAATATTACAGTAGGAAAACACTGGTAACTTCAGTGAGGCCTCCCTGCAAGTTAATAATTTGTTTTACTATTTTCCCCTCTTGTTCATCCAAAGGAATATTTTCAGATTGAAATAACATGCTTGTTCCTTCTAGCTGGAGTTAAATGCTAAGGCAGCAGGTTTAAAATGTTCATTGTGGGGATTAGAATGCCCCTACCAGGCGTGGCTGGTGCACACCTCACATGGGGCCACTCTGAAAATCTTTCTTCTCAGTTATTTTGCTCATCATAAAATCCACCAGTGACATTTCATGTGTCCTTTCCTGCTGGAAGCTGACCTATCCTGCTCTTGGCCAAAGAGATAAAATTATATATTCCATAAAATTACTAAATATTGTATTTCTAGTTCCAGCCTCTGTTAATACCTTTGCTACTGCCTGCTGAGGAAAGCAGACCAAGCTAGTAAAGAGATGCTGCAGACAATCTGGAACAATTAATTATTAAAAGGGGAGTTAGAAAGAGAGATCCCTCACAGGGGTAGTGTGTCCCTTGGCTTGTCCAATGTGTTTTTCTCCCTGTCACCCCTGTCACCTTCTCTTTACATGCAGTCAGGCTCATTCTCACATAAGAATACACATCACACACATCACATCACAGTAAGATGGAAGGCAAGGCAGATTCTTCTTTTCCCTCTCTCCCAGTTTCTGTCTTTTTCCAGTCAGCACACAGTCCAATTAAAGGACAAGAGAAAAGCAGGCACAAGTAAAATTCCCTTTCAAGGAGGATTTTACCAGTGCTAGACTTCTGTGCCATGTTATTGGTTACACACTACAGACTTTTATTTCCCTGCCATCTTGAGTACATGGTTCCAAAACTCCCTGCTGGCCACAGAAGGCAGATGCCTGCTGCTGGTACATGGGCAAAGGAAAAAGGAGGTTGTGAATCTCCTTGGGCTATGGTTTGGCCATTTTCCTAACCAATCTTTGGCTGATGAAGTTCTGTGCCCTCTCATAAAGACCCCTTTGAGGCAGAGGGTTGATTCCTTATTTCTATGATTTGTAAAAAGGTAAATGTTTGTCTCAGTTTTGGCACTGAGAAGAAGAGCAGGGAAGGTTTTAAAGGCACTTTGCATGTAAGAACTCATGAAAAAACACTGTTATTCTCCCACAGTAGGTGGTAAGCAGCAGAAACAGAGACATTTAGCAATGCAAAATGAGCTCCTGGCATCTGGTAATTGTAACTTTTTTTTTTTTTGCTTTTAAACCTCTCACAACATTGAATTGCATGGGGTCAATCTGACCTGTTCTTGACAGTGTTTGCTGTGGTAGGAAGTCTTTGTGACTTCCAATTAGAAGAACATTTTACGTTATTCAGGTATGGAGAGAAAGGAGCACAACAACAAACTGTTTACTAGTACATGTTTTATGACCCTAAAAGTCTCAATTTTCATGATTTGTACCTAAGTCAGGATGTTTTAAAAGTATTTATCTAAAAGATGTGATTTCATCATACAGCCTCCAAAACAAATTTATTTAGTTCCATTATATGTGGCCTATCCTTCTGCCTTTCTTTTAAAATATAAAATATTATGGAAAGGTAGAAGCATGTGGTTCAGAAAAGCAATGCAACATGCCAAATGTTTGAAATTCAAAGGTACTGGCAGTTCCCTGGAGCAGGTTATCTCAGTGTCATGACAACCAGAATCCTCTGTAATGAACACAGTGGTTCTGGATGGTTCACTCATAGCTTCTGAAGGGCAATGGAGGTGATCCAGAGTCTGGAGCACCGTTCCTCTGAGAGAGCTGGGGGTATTTAGCCTGGAGAAAAGGATGCTCAGCGGAGACTTCACTGTTCTCTATAACTGCCTGAAAGGAGGTTGTAACAAGGTGGAGGTTGTTCTGCCCAGAAATAAGTGATAGGACAAGAGGAAATGGCTCCAGGGGAGGTTTAAATTGGACATTAAGAAAAATTTCTTCACCAGCAGGGTTGCCGAAACTGGAACAGGCTGCCCAAGGAAGTGGTTGAGTTGCCATCCCTGGAGATATTTAAAAGATATGTAGATCTGGAGTTTAGGATCATTTTTTAGTAGTGGACTAGGCAGTGCTGGGTTAATGGTTGGACCAGGTGGTCTTTTCTAGCCTCTATGATTCTCTGTTTCTGTCAGCTGGTTCCTCATGCATCATTTACAAGTCTCCATTCCATAAGTGCTTCTGTAGAGAGGATGGATAGAAATGAACACTTATTCAAAAACCAGGCATGCAGTCAGCAGAAGCGGTCATCCCACCTGGCACTACAAGAAGTGACTACAGCCAAACACCTGCAGAAACAAGCCACACATCCTCCACTGGGAATGTCAGCAGTGACACTGTCCTTCAGGTGCTCCTCTGCTCCACTGATACCAGGTCCCAGATCACAGTGAGGGGCTGACCATCACCTCTGCATAACATTGTGCCCAAACTGCTGGGAGAACCAACAAAGCAACCCTAGCTAGTCCCTAGCAAGTGTGCCCTCTCCGCCTTTGAAAATTTGGTGTATGGTGCAATTTGGTCAAAATCATCTTGACCTTGGGATCTTCCTCAAGTTGAATAATATGCATTCTTTTTATATTATTTATGTGTTCAAGTTCCATGAAGCAAGCCCTAGGATTTAGCCAAAAAAGTTTTTCTGACAAATGCATGCAAAATAACTGCAGGTGCCTGTAGAAAATTCTTGTCTGTCCATAAACTGCCTTGCAGTTAAAAATACAAACAATATCAAAAAAATTGTGGAGGAAAAAAACATTTATTTCTCTAATTGCAATTAAGGTTAACCCATAAATACCAAGGGTTTACCCATTCCAACTGTGTTATGTGTTCCAATTGTTTGAAAAGAAAATATATTACTTTTCTGGCATGCATTAAATTTAATATGGGCTACTGTGTTGGAAAGAATAATGGGAAAAACCTTTTCTTGGGTTATCAGAAGGTGAGAGCTAATATTGGCCAGTTAATCCCATTATGATTATTATATATGAGTCTAGGTTGGATTTGTTCATAGATTGCACAGATATTACTAAATAGGACTTCAGGCAACTATACATGAATTTCTGTAAATTGTGATCAAGCCTCAGTGCAGCGGCCATCAGGTGAAGAATTAAAGAGCTGTCAGTATTAAATTCATTTATTTCTCCTTATCATTTAAAGAACAGGTGGTCTCTATCTCAACCAGTCTGAACACACAGCTCTGAAAAGACTCGTAGTATTTTGCAGAGAAATGGAAGGAGCAGCAGCAGATTTCATTTATCAGGAATAACATTCTTTCCCTGACCTTTCACCTCCAGCACCTAGGTAGACTCATTCTGCTGGTGCTATTGACCCTGCACATTTTGTGCAGACTGGGGTGGTTTCATGATAAATTTAATGAAATAGGATAGACTTGCTGTAACTTGAAATTAAGCAAGGCCTTGAGAGAAAAATCTTCAAAGGACTAAAAATGTGTACATGCATGCATGTTCAAAGAAAGCACATAGTGATTGACTGGACCGTGTTCTGTAGATATGCACATATTTTGGTTTCAGTGGAAGTGTAAAGTATGTTAAGTCAGTGCAAAATTTGTCTTACTCTACTCCAAAGTCAAGTCAGCCCTGGATGCTTCTGTCACATGAACAGTGTAAATTAAGATAGAATTAAAATATGTCAATTAACTTGATTGATTTATTAAAAAGTAAAATTAAAAGTGATGGAAATGTTTCATAGTTATATAAAATAAGAGATAACCTTTAGTTTAGTCGGGTTATATTGTTACTTTTTTACCCTCTCTTTTCACTGTACTAGAGCAAATAAAATATTTGGTTTGAAAAAATAGAAAAGGGTGAGAAAGAGTTCCATCTTGACCTTTAAATAACCAGCTCATCTGATTGAATCTCTGAATGCTGAAAAAAAATGAAGAGGATCAAGCAGGAGAATTTTCTCTCAGTAAGCACAGTCTTGGTGGGGCTGCATTTCCTATCATCTCACTTGTTTACACAGCATGTTTATAAAAATTACTGCAGCTCCCCATCTATTACTGCAGTATTCCAGTTAGAAGCTAAAAGGGTACTGAGGACTCACTTGGAGAGGATTAAGTGATCATGAAACAAAGTGAAATATCCACCCGCTCAGTACCAGCAGGCAGCTTTTCTGCAGGTGAAGATAAAGAGGAGTAGCACAAGATTTGTTGAAAGAGTTTTTTAATGCTTCTTATCTTGTCTTACTATGGTGCTAAGTGTTGTCAAAGACTGCTTTCATCAAGAAGTTGAATTACAGTCATTACAAAGAACGAGGTCGTGCTATTGTCAGCAAGACTACTGATGGCATAATACAATGCTGTGTGCAAAGAAAATTTGAAAGACAGGATAGATCTGCCATTAAAGGTAGATTTTTCTTGTCTGGGCAAGGGTTTTCCCCTCTCTTTTTATAAGATGATATTTTAATTGAAAACAAACAAATAAACAGCACACAAGGCGTAAAGCAATTCTTAAAGCAGCCCATAAGAAGGGTCATCCTGAACATATCTGTTATGATTTGGGGGGTAACTTAGAAGTACAAAGTAGAGGTGGGTATCTCTAAAGAAAAAAACAAAAACACACACACACAAAAAAAAGAATAAAAGCAAATAAATCCTTTCTCAAACATTTGCAAGCTCTAAACATTGCTAAACTACCTCTCTTTTCATTCCCATAGCACTACTTTGAATGCTACTTGACAAGGATTCAGAAATGTTATACTTGAGCAGTGTGGCATTGGGAAGGAAGGTATGATATAAAACCATTTCAATAAAAGCAGGTTGCATCAGGACCCATTAGAAAGCCAGTTTATCCTGAAATGACTAAGAATTGATATGTATAACCTGTTTTGCCATCATCTTCTCCAAAACCTTACTAAACCAAACCAAATCTAAAAATTGTGCCCCACAACATTATTTGGGTTATGATCTTGCCCAGATAAGTGTGAAATCAGCTAATGTCCGTTCCTAATTCTCAGGCAGGGACACCACAGAGAATTCCATCTTTGAAATTGTTTTAATGGAAATACTATCTTCTTTTATACCTCTATATGAATGAATATTTTCACACTTGATAGGAGCATTCTTTGCTGGTTAAATACTGGGCTGGATGGCCAGGCCCAGAGAGAGGTGGGGAGTGATGTCACCTCCAGCCAGTGAAAAGTCACTAGTGGGGTTCCCCAGGGCTCAGCTTTGGGGCCAGTCTTCTTTAACACCTTATTGATGATACAACTCTCTACAACTGTCTCAAAGGAGGATGCAGTTATGGGTGTAGGTCTCTTCTCCCATGCAACCAGCAACAAGACAAGAGGACATAGTCTCAAGATTCACCAGGGAAGGTCCAGGTTGAACATCAGGAAGAATTTGTTTTCTGAATGGGTTATTAAGCATTGGCATGGATTGTCCAGAGAGGTAGTGAAGTCACCATCCCTGGAGGTGCTTCAGAAATAACAGGCCTCACTGACCTGGTGGTGATTGGTCAAAGACTGACCTCGAGGATCTTGCAGCTCTTTTTCAGCCACAGTGATTCAGTGATTCTGTAGCCTCACCTCACTTCACTCATGTATGAAATTGAAATTCTATATAAGCTGAAATGACAATTGAAGAAAAGAAAAGAACACCTACAGGTTTTAGAAAGTTACTTGTAGTAGACTATAATCCATTTTCAGCTTTTTGGGTTTCAGATGCCCTTTCTTCCTGAAAATATGAAAATTATGCTTTCATAGGACAAATCACCTGTTTCCTCAATGAATCATAAAATATATGTTTTTCTCCTGAAGAAATATAAAATTAATACTTGAAATGATGCTCCGATGTAATTATTTATTTTTGTTTTTTTCCTCTTTCTTCTTCTTCATTACTCCATCAGGTTAATGCTCTCCATGTGAAAATTTGAAGAAGCTGATAAAAGAAATCAGTGAGATTATCCTGTCTCTATCTTTTTTATTATTATACTATTATTATTACTTTTTTTGTGATTTATTGTGTATACTACTTTATGAATAAATAACTATACATATATAATTTTTTTAAGTTTTCCCATAATTTTTTGGGCTCTTTTTTTTAACTTCCATGGGTAGGACTGACCTTTTTCCCCCCTTACTTCTAAAAAAACTCTTACTCCAAAAAATGATAACCATCTAGTGTTTTGTTTGCACTCTGTTAAGGGTCTTACATAAATATTCAAGATATTCAAGAGAAAGAAAGAAGCAAAATGTCCGATATTCTACTTTGCGTTACTGGAATTCCACATGAGACTGAAACAAGCCCTTAGCCGTGTTTGTTTCACAGACTTTTACAGACAACTCTTGACAAGCCATGTGACTCCTGGAGGCTGGAACTTTTCATTTTTCATCTGCCCCCTTTCAGTGCCCCCTTTTTTCCTTATTGTATATTGCCTTCCTACGCAGAACTCTGGCCTACAGCACAGCTTGCACTACTGACAGCATACCAGTCTGCTCTCATTCCAGTTCTACCTTCACAGCACTTCACGCCATCCCCAGCCTCCCTGCAGCATCCCCTTCTCCTATGAGGCTCATAGGCTCTCCATGTATCTTTTCTGTTACTGCTGTGCTCATCCTAATTCCCTGACCAGTTACTGTTTCCCAATGTTTCTACATGAAAGGGTAAAGTGTGTGAAATGCTCTCAGTTTGCCAGCTAAGTAGTGTTATGCAAGTGAGAACAGTTATTTGTTGTTTATCAGATTAATGAATATTTAGATAAATAAGACTTTCTGCAGGCAGCCAGCTTCAATGTGTGCAGGAATGAAAATTGCAAGGTGGGGAAGGTAAATATTTGGTACTTTGGTCAATCAAGCAGGTACCCAGGAGGGAAGTCAACCTCTTTGAGATGATAACCTGTACATCTCTCTCCTGACAGAGACCCACAAGTCACATAACACCTATATTTTAAAACTGTTCACATAGTCAATATGCTGAAGTTTTCTCTTAGTTTTCTAGGAATCAAATCCAACACAGCCACACTGTTTCTTCCCACAAGCACCTAGCAGCTGCTTTGGCATTATGTCTTGACAGAGTATTTTCCCCTTTCTCATGCTACCAGCTATCAGTGAGGACTCAGACCAATAGTACTGCAAAAAAGCGATAGCACAGAGGTTTAAAACTTTTTGTAATGTGACCCATCCCCAGGCACTGCGAGTGCAGAAACAGAAGACACTCTACCTGCCACGGAAGTAACCTAGTGAAGTTTGCAGGAACCTCTGTCACTTTTAAAAGCCCTTTGCATCAGCCCTGTGAGTCCTTCTACCACAAGTCTCTCTGTTCTCCCTTTTGCAAGGTGTTCTAGTCCAAAAGAGTACCAAAGCTGAGATCTTAAAAGGATACACAGAGATTTAAGAACATAATGTCCCTGAAGGTTAATGGCATTTTCCTAACTTTCTCAAGATACTTCTAAAAAAGCCTGTTCAACAGCACTGTGAGGGATTTTTTAATTGCCCTTTCTTTTGGTTCCCTTTTGGATTGTAAACCAAAAGGAACCAATTATCTATTCATATAGTAGTTTGCAGAAAATTCATTCAGCCTAAACCATAACAAAATTTAGCCACAATTCATCATGGAATTTAAACACCATTATAAAAATAACAGGGAGCAATAGTCTGTCACTAAAAGTAAAAGCATTAGCTTTACACCATTTTGAATATAGGCAATCTTCCAGAATTAGTTAATACTTCTACATTTTTGTTACACTCATTCAGAAGTACCTGATCTCCTCTCTAGACACTTTTTCTCAGAAAGCAATAGACAATTTGTGATACTTACTGAATTTAAAAAGTGAATTGCTGTCTAACTGAAGTAGCTTACTATACAAGTAATGGGATTATGTCTTTCTGGTAATGGAATACACTAAAGCATTCCATTTAACCAAATTAAATTAAAATATAATTTTATAAAGTTGTTTTGATTTTGATATTGAGATTCTAAATAATTTTGCTTTAATTCCAAGGGAGATGGATTCCTTTGTATATTATGAAATTGTAATAATTTCTGAGTGATTAACATTAAAGTTATGTCTACACTCTTGGCACATTCTTTCCTTATAGCTACAGCAGTATTACACTTTCTAAAGAAGCTGTGTTTCTGTGCAGTTCACTGTGACGATGAGGCAGCAAAAAAGAATGGTGAAAAAATTCTCTTTCTGGAGCTCTATAAGCAATCCCCCAGCAGAATGTTACTATCACATTTCATCATGCAGCCCAAAAGGCAGTTCTATAATGGCAAGAAGTCTTTGTAATAGAGGTAATTAAAATTATCATTGTGCATTCTATAGAGTACTATATAGTCACTTGCTAGCCATAAGAAGATGACCAGAAGATATAGACTGGACTTTGGCCCAAATTTTTTTACAGTAGTATAGTACTCTGCAGCACAGATGGGTGATCTCTTTCCTTCTCCAGTGTCTGCTTCAGGACTTTCACACACATTTTGAGAAATTATGAGACACTCCACTCAAATTTATTTATTCATAAGTGGAAGTGCACATTTATTTTTCATTTTGGTGGCTGTTGTAATTTTTTTGGAAGTGGGTGTATGAAAAACAGCCAAATTGTCAGAAAAGTGAATACTCTACATTTACTTTGGTGAATGGTTCTAACCACATTCGATGAGGCAGGAAAAATGTCAGGAGCAGAAAAACAAGGCATTCTGACATTTTAAAATTAATCTGTCTAATTTTTCAACTAAGTTCACTGGGGGACAGATTCTCTAGTCTTTACACAGCAGGTAAATTTCTTGGAATAGTCCAACTGAAATAACTTGGATTTCTTATGCAAAGATGTGAGAAAATATACGTCTCTTAATACACTTTCAAAGTGAAATGGTTGCTCTAAATTCCCTTAGCTGCTAGCAAACTGGTGAAGAAACAGTATGGACTAAGAATTCAGCTTTTGATTTACACTGAATTTCACCCAGACAAATATTTCACAATTTGCACAGTAAGAGTTATAGTCAGTACCACTTTAAACTGAAGTATGTTAGATAATTACACAACTCCCCCATATCTTTTCTGAAGGAAATACCGTTAGTAGCAATCTGATTGAGCTCATCAGAAACAAGTACCAAGCAGGAATTTACATCCTGTCTTTGTCTCAGGACCTCATCTTAAGTTTACAGATTTGTTTTCCTGCTAAGGTTTATGAAGGAATCCATGGATGGTTAGTCAATGTACACTGTGTATAATTTCTTCCTACTGTCAGCTCTTTGCTTTGCAGTGCTGATATGAACGACTCCTACTATTAGCTTTTTAGAGTGTTCTGTTAGTACACTGTAAACCAAAATGCACACACAAAATAGAAAAAGGGAAAAAAAATCTGTAAGGTAACAGCACCAGTACAGCAACTGAATGCATTTAGAAAATGACAGTCTTTGTAAGATACAGTAAAAGCATAAGAACACAATCCAAAGGACAATTTTTTTAAAAAATGCATATGCAAATTACAACAGTGTATTGGCTTTGCAGATAATAATAATAATAATAATAAAAAAATAGAAAACTACAACGGGACAGCTTTTATTTTTAATTAAATAAATTATGTCATCTATAAGCAAGGTGTAGAAGAGCTAGCTTTAAGGACATTATTTGAGAATAAAGTTTTAAATATCTAAGTCAGGAATACCAAGGAATATCCTGCTAAACTCACAAGAATAAAAGGATATTATCTTGCTGCAAAATTAGACACTCAATCTAAGATGCTTTCAAGTGCACAAGGTGAAGATAACTGTCACTTACATAGTTTTAAACAGATTTTCCCTCCTAGGGAAAGGACAGAGAGAGTAGGCAGTCAT